CTTGATAAAGTGTTTATCAACTTCCACATGTTTGGTTCTGTCGTGGAGGACTGGATTATGAGCAATTGAAATGGCAGCTTTGTTGTCACAGTAGACTCTCATTGGAGGAGAAACAATAACCTTCAAATCTTCAAGGAGTCTTTTTAACCATATAGCTTCGCAAATCCCATGGGCGAGTGCTCTGAACTCGGCTTCTGCACTACTCCTCGCTAATACATTTTGTTTCTTGCTTCGCCACGTGACTAAGTTTCCTCCAACGAAGGTGCAATATCCTGAGGTAGATCGTCTATCAACTATACTGCCTACCCAATCAGCATCTGTGTACACCTCCACTTGTAAATGACCTTGTTTCTTGAACATAAGTCCTTTACCTGGTGAGCCCTTTAAGTACCTCAGAATCCTGTACACTGCTTCAAAGTGTTCCTGTCCAGGAGAGTGCATGAACTGACTCACCATACTGACTGCAAATGCTATATCTGGGCGTGTGTGAGATAAGTAAATTAGTCTTCCCACCAATCTCTGATATCTTTCACGATCAACCATATTCTCGGGTTCGGCAGCTTCTAACTTCAGGTTGACTTCAATTGGAGTGTCAGCAGCTTTACACCCGAGTAGTCCTGTCTCATTAAGCAAATCAAGTACATATTTTCATTGATTCACGAAAATTCCTTCTCTTGACTTGGCAAATTCCATTCCAAGGAAGTATTTTAATGCTCCCAGATCTTTGACTTCAAAATCTTTAGTAAGTTTCTTCTTCAGTCTGGTCAACTCTTCAATGTCATCACCTGTCAAAATTATATCATCCACATACACAATTAAAATGGCAATTTTCCCTTCCTCACCGTGTTTGTAGAACATGGTATGGTCTGCCTGACTCTAATGATACCCATGACTCTTCACAGCCTTTCCAAAACGTTCAAACCACGCTCTTGGAGACTGTTTCAAGCCGTACAGGGATTTTTTGAGTTTACAGACTTTGCTCTGACTGTGTTTTCCTTCGAACCCAGGTGGCAAGCTCATAAACACTTCTTCTTCCAAGTCTCTATTTAAAAAGGCATTTTTTATGTCCAATTGATGTAATGGCCAATTAGAATTGACTGCCAACGACAATAAGACTCGGATAGAATTTATTTTTGCTACAGGAGCAAACGTCTCTTGGTAATCAATGCCGTACGTTTGCGTAAAACCTTTCGCCACAAGTCTTGCCTTGTACCTTTCCACACTACCATCAGCTTTACACTTAATAGTGAAAACCCATTTACACCCAACAGTTTTCTTTCCTTTGGGTAAGTCAACTATCTCCCACGTTCCACTCCTTTTAAGAGCATTCATCTCCTCTAACACTGCTGACTTCCAATTCGGATCATCTAGTGCTTCCTAAATGTTTCTTGGAACAAACAAGTGAGAAATATTTGAAGTAAAGGCCCTATGTTTATGGGAAAGTTTATCATAAGACAAGTATTTGGCAATGGGATGCTGGGTACAGGTTCGGATTCCTTTTTTAACAGCTATAGGGATATCAAGGTCTACAGGAACTTGGCTAGGTGTCTCTGTACAATTAGAAATAGTAGGGACAACTGTAGACAAGTTAGGATTTAGAGTACCTTGAGTGTTCAGGGAGTCATTGCTCGGGACCTCTGATTGGCCTTGCTCAGGTACAATAGTAGGCTCTCTACTCTTTTGATGAGTCTTTTTTCTGTTATAAACCAGAAGCTCAGGATTCGGTTTTTTTGGAACCGTTGGTAGGATTTCTCCCCCTGTTGGAGATACAGTAAGGCTCGGCAGATTAGGACTAGGAGGCCCCGGGTTTCCTGATTCTAGAACATCATTTTCTTGTTTAAAAAGATCAGTGTTTGGAGTAGAGTGTGAGACAATAGTTTTAGGTAAGGGAATATTAGTAGAAATCTCCCAAAAATTTTCTTCACTCTCTTTCTCCCCCTGAAGAAAAGTTTTCTGAAAATAAGGATGATTTTCTAGAAAAAAAACATCCATACTGATAAACATTTTTTTTGTTGTCGGATTGAAGCATTTGTACCCCTTTTTATTCGGGGCATACCCAACAAATACACATTTTTCAGCCCGAGGATCCAATTTAGATCGAAATCTACTAGGTAAATGGACAAAGACAGTGCACCCAAATACTTTCAAAGGCAGGTTTGAATAAATCCGAGTTTTAGGAAAAGATTTTTTAAGGCTTTCAAGGGGTGTAAAATAGTTAAGAACACGAGTAGGCATCCTGTTAATCAAATATGTTGCTGTTAAAACGGCTTCACCCCACAAATACTTAGGAACATTCATTGAAAACATGATGGCACGAGAAACTTCAAGTAAATGTTTATTCTTTCTTTCAGCAATTCCGTTTTGTTGGGGTGTGTCAACACAAGTGGATTGGTGAAAAATTCCTTTTTCTGTTAAAAAACTTCCTAAAACTTTATTAAAGTATTCGGTGCCGTTATCAGTATGAAGAATGCCAATTTTTGTTTGAAATTGATTTTCAATCATCATATAAAAATCCTTGAATAATTTTTCAACTTCAGATTTTTCATTCATTAAATACACCCAACACAAACGTGTATGATCATCAATAAAAGTCACAAACCATTTTTTTCCAGAAAGAGTTGTGATCCTAGAAGGGCCCCAAACATCGCTATGGATTAAATAAAATGGTTTTGATGTTTGGTAAGGTTTAGGAGAATACGTAGTACGATGACTCTTTGATAAAAAAACAATTCTCACAATAAAAAGATGAACAATCCAATCCTTTAAACAAAGAAGGAAATAATTTTTTAAGATAAGGGAAACTAGGATGCCCTAGTCTAAAATGCCATAGCATTATTTGTTCTCTAACAGGGATAGAACGAAAACTACTCAAACCTTGAGCCTTTTTATTACTTGAAATATCATCTTCAAAATAGTAGAGACCATCTATCATCTTAGCACTGCCAATCGTCTTCCCCAAGCTCTGGTCCTGAAATTCACAATAGGATTCAAAAAAGATAACACGACAATTAGAGTCTTTGGACAATTTACTAACTGATAAAAGGTTACAAGCAAGCTTAGGGACATGAAGGACAGACTTAAGATCAATAATTTTTGAAAGTTTCACTAAACCTTTGCCTGCAATAGGAGAATAAGAACCATCAGCTATTCTGATTTTTTTTTCAGAGCTAGAACAGGGTGAATAAGTTTGAAATAAATGAGAACAACTTGTCATATGGTCAGAAGCCCCTGAATCAATGATCCATGGGGTAACACTGGAATTTGAACGACAAGATAAGGCCTTCGGGTTGTTACCTGTTTGAGCAAGAGAAACATTAGGAGTACCAGATGAGGAATTGAATTTCAGCAATTTTAGAAGATGATCCATCTGTTCTTTACTGAAGGGAAGTGCCTCGGCTTCATGAGCTGATGGGGCTCGGTTGAATCTGCCTTCCTGCTTACTCTTCCAATTCGCTGGTTTACCATGAATTTTCCAGCAAGTTTCACGGGTATGGTGAGGCTTGTTGCAGTGGTCACACCAAAGACGGGGCTTTTCATTATGTTTCCTGCCAATATTCGCTTCAGATGCGACCAAGGCAGAGGTCTCAACAGCACCATTTGATAACTTTTTTCCAAGCATGACCAGCCTGCGACTTTCCTCTCTTCGAACCTCGGAGAAGACTTCACCGATTAAAGGCAAGGGTTGTCGTCCAATTATTCTGCCTCTCACTTCATCAAACTCGACATTGAGTCCAATGAGAAACTTGAAGATGCGGTTGTCTTCCACCTTCTTTTTGTAATGGTTGCAATCTTCAGGCGATTTCCACTCATAATCACTGAACAAATCAAGGTCCTGCCACAAACGTTTCAGAGAGTTGAAATATTTTGTAACACTGTTATCTCCTTGACGGATCTCTCCGAGTTTCAGCGTTAGTTCATAGACTTGAGACTGATTTCCTAGGTCTGAATACATTTGGTTGACATTGTCCCAAAGTTCTTTTGCTGTGTGGTAACACATATAATTAGAACTGATGTCCTCCTCCATAGAATTCACCAACCAGGTCATCACCATCGAATTCTCTGCATCCCAGGTCGAGTAGGATGGATCTTCAGGTTTTGGTTCCTTCTTTTCTCCTGTTAGGTAGCTGATTTTGCCTCTGCCTCGGATATACATCCGCACGGACTGGGACCAGCGAAGGAAGTTTTCACCATTTAGCCGAATTGTGGTAATCTGGACCGAGTGTGTCTGAGAGTTTTGGACTTGGGACTCAAAGGTCTTGGTCTTGGACTCAGGTATGTCATCAGACATGGTGATTAGAGTTGTTTGGAAGAGAAAAAAAAAGGAACAGCTAGGGGTTTTTTTTTCAGAAGAATCGGTAAGATGCTCTGATACCAAATGGGCGATTTCAAGATTGAAAGAAAATCTGTATATTGCCTTTCTTTGAATGGTTTACAATGCTTTAGTTAAATAGGACATACAAGGGGCTAAAAAAAGGAAACTACAAGCTGACTACAAGCTGTGACAGCAAACTACAGGCTGTAATTACAGGCTGTATACTAACAGAAGCTACAGGCTGTGCACTAATAGAAGCTATAGGTTATACACTAAAATATCCCCTAAAATCTGGTCATTGACTATCTATATTTACACGCCTATCATATCCCCTAAAATATGGTCTTATTAAAACCAAATCTCTCTTTTTCAACAATATATATATATATATATATGCATATAATGCACTGGGCTAGCCCTTTTTATAATGCAATATAAATTGAAAAATCTATACAAATAAATTATCAGTTTTGTGGGTTTCAATCTGCCAAGTACTATTTATCCATGACAACCCCAGCAATTTTTCCAATCATTAGTGTAGAAATTCACATGGTTGGTTCTTCTGTAAGTCATGCATCAGATGAGAATGACATATTAGTCTCTACATGGTGAAACACTAGTAATCTGCCAACAGTCAAATTGAGCATGAAGAAAATACTGATTCACAGATTCCTCGAAAGAAAATCACCTTTTTAGTTTGAAGAGTTAAGCTTGTCTTAAAGCCATTCTGAAGCCTCCCAGCTAAGCTATCATTATTGTTGAGATTTTTTGTGCAAGGTATCAGAGAATAAGTTTCTTGGGAATTCAATTGCCTACGCTTTCTGTTGCGCTGCCAACTATACTGTCTCTCACGCTTTTTAGGCTTTCCTGTAATCTGGTTTGATGATCCATGTTGTTTCAGCTTTTGATCAACTTCATTATTGGCATCACCGGTTCTAATAGCCTCTTCAGATAAATTCTTCTGACAGTGCTTTTTCCTGCAGTGTCCGCTGATTTGATTTGAATAACTCTGACCAGTACAGCCAAAACAGTTAATGGAACTAGAGGGAACATGAACATCAAAAGAACAACTGAAATGCTCTCTCTCTGATATTGAGTCAACTTCATCAACTCTTTTCCTCTTTCTTCCAAATCCTGAGAAGAATTTTAAACACCACTTTGTCAAATTCTCAGGAGTATCCTATCTGATAAACCATCATAGTAATGGGTTCAAACTGCAGACCATATCTAAGATAACAGCCATGAAGTGTATATATATATATTTTTTTTCAGGAAATGAAAGAAGTATTACATGCAAAGATGTATCTGAAAAGAGGATCAATTGAGATCAAAACCATTCAGGTAAGAACAGTACAAGAAGAAACCAAATCTAAAGTGCCAAGAGTATTGTCTAACAGGATCATGTGCCCAAGAATGATGCAGTCAAAATCTAGGTCATAGTTGAGATTGATGATGGTTATGGTATCTTGCAAATCAAGAAATCAAATGTTTGCGGTCCAGTGAAGGGCTTATTTAGGTTTGAAGATGCTGTTGCAGTCCTAACTACCGTGCAGATTGTACATTCTACCATAAACTATAACCTTTCCACACATTTCTTCTTTGACTTTTCTCCAGACTATTTCTGTCTGAAGTGAGCAGCTTCTTGTAGAAATAAGAGATTCTACTAATATGGTGCACAAAGTCACTTAAATCGAAAAAATCCATGCAGAGTTCACCACACTGATATGGTGTAGTGGAGCCACCACATTACAATGACTCTGATATGTGATTAGTATAATAGGGATGGGTTGGATAAAATAAAGGCAGGTTAGAGGTGTTTTATGTAATTAAAATGAAAATTCTATAGGACGAGCATTTGGCAACCTGTCTTATAAGAAACAGAGTATTAAACATTGAAAAAGAAACAAAAACAACGCATCAAGTACCTGAAAATAGAATAATGAGATAAACAATTAAATTGATTAAAAGAGACAGTAAATCATTAACATGTAAAGATAAACGATTTAGGAGCAGCCTATTAGCAATAAAATAAGTGGAAGTAGGATTAGGTGGTAAGGAAATATACAACATGGCCATGTAGATGCATCAACAAAAGATTAGTTTGCATAGAAGGTGAAAAACATTTAGGTAGATTAATATTATATTCGATGAAGTAAATTAACATGACTTAAATATATATATATATAATAGCATAAATAAGTTCTAATAGAAAAGGCTAAAGAATAGAAAAAAACATACATGAAACACACCCAAATTTAAGGCATAACACACTCACAGCTATCACAACTGGTAGTATAACCTAACTACCAATGACAATCCCTGAGAAAACCTTCTTGTTTGATCTACATAGTCACAGTTTTTATCACCATTGTTTACTTCCTTTATCATTTCTCCCCCTTAATATTATTCATTTCTTTCTGACATGTCTTTGAATTCTATTCAAACATAACCAAGAATATTGATAGGAGAGAAACAAGGTTCTCTATCATGATCTCTTAATAGCGTTCTCCATGCAATAAAAGGAAAAGACATTGGTTGTAGCTACTTATTCATTCTTCCAACCGGATAGAGAAAACATAGACTTCCTCAAGCAACAGGGAAGGTGACATTGACATCCTTTTAAACAACAAACAGTTTGTAATCTCCTTGCTTTTTCTAGGTTCAATGTCTATAATAAGCATCATTTGGATAAGGAGAATTTGCGGATGCCATTCGATGCAATTTAACGTGCAATCTCTGAAATTCGGTCATCAAAACAAACTACTACAATTAAATGGATATTCTATTTAGAAAAAATTTAGAATCCAAAGAAACTTCTAATTCCAAGTGTTCTTTCAGAAACAAACATCTTGCAATTCCATGCAGCCACCACCCTAATGACTCAAAATCAAAGGTATTTATTTGTAATTTCTTGCAATTCCGCTTCCGTGCAGCCACCACCCTGGTGACTTAAAATCAAAGGTATTTTTCAAAGTAACAAAAACAATCCCAACTTACAGGACGCACACATAAAACATCATAGCACATTAAATTAAAGTAATAAATCCACATATTCTTGTGTTTCCCATATAGGGATGGTAACAGGGAGAGTTTGAGTAGGGGGACCCTTCCCCACCCCATCCCCATTTAAGAGACTACCACTGTCCTCTCTCCATCCATGTTTAAGAAAAAATCCCCACCTAAAAAAATAATAATAATAAAATAAAAGAAATCCAATCCCCAACCTCAATATGTACCCCCGGCCCCGGCCCCACCCCACCCCACCCCACCAATCCTATTAGCACTCACAAAGCTCAAATAATACTCCAATAACAACTTCGAATTATACTAGTAAAAGAATTTAGAAAGCAATATAGTAAAATAAATAAATAAATAAAGAATCACTTTTGGGGTTTCCAATAGTTTGCAACAAGGTATAGAGAAAAATAAAAAGAAAAAGGAAAACAATGAAGGCTAATTGGTCCAGTAGAAGTAACCATGGTTGGCTGGAGAGAGAAAGATAAACTGAGTAGAGAAGGAAGAGTCGAGAGAGAAAGACAAACTGAGTAGAGAAGGAAGAGTCGTTTGCTACTCAGATCTTGATTTGGATCTATAGACTTACTCATATGAAGCAACAACAAAAATCAGCATTGTCACTAGAGCGAGAGTGAGGGTGCGAACTTCATGGAGGAGGAACCAAGCTATCAAAGGTCACCGGCATTTTGTTAGAAAGAGCCACCAATGGCATTGGTCTTCGATGAGGAGAGAAAGAGCGAGAGTGCAGAGTAGCAAAATGAGGAGAGAAAGAGAGAGAGGGTAGAATAGCAAAGAATAAGAAAGGTTATTTTATAAGAAGTACCTATTAAGCTTATAAATCTTATTCAACATATGTACGGTGAGACATTGACTAGAGTAAACACTAGATGCGGAGAACCAGTGACTTCCCTATAAAAATGGGATTACACCAAAGATCGGTGTTGAGTCCATACCTATTTGCAACAATATTAAACGAAATAATAAAAGATATTCAAGAGAAGATCCCATGTTATATGTTATTTGTGGATGACAAACACACAAATACAACACATTCATGTAGCGGAAATGAGGATGCTACGTTAGATGATAGGAATCTCTAGAAGAGCTAAGATAAATAATGAACGTGTGAGGGGAACATTAGGTATAGCGCCTATAAATGATAAAATTAGGGACAGTAGACTTAGGTGGTATGGTCATATTCAACATAAACCCAATGATGCACCTGTTAAAAGAGAATCAGTTGTTTGCTTAGAAGGTAATTGACAAAGAGGCCGACCAAAGCTCCTAAACCTGTGTGAGTTTAATCCCCTCCTACCTCCCCCCCCCCCCCCCCCCCCCCCCCCCAAAAAAAAAAGGGTGAAACCACACCAAACCAATTCAAACTCCCCCAAACCCGTCCCAATAGGGGTAGGACAGGGCAGATACCCACCGGGAGAAGTTAAATTGCCATCCCTAGTCCCATAACAACAAAGATGGAGAAAGAGTGTGAAAGAGGGAGTATTGTCCAAAGCAGGTCAAACAAATCTATTCGCTTCTTTAGGGCTTTTAAATACTTCCCTTTCATCATTGTACAAAATAGCACATAACTAATTCTAATCTTGACTCCCTATGGCACCCCCAAAAATCCACTTTTAATCTCCTTGAATAAAACTAGACCAGCCATTACAGATACAAGCCATGCAGCCATGTATGTCAACGTCTATTTAAACTTCCAAAAGAAAATGGCACTATATTAATTGGCTCAGAATCCTCATCTAAGGAAACAATGATCACATAAACTTTTCACAATTGTTTAATAAATTTTGAGGCTGTTAATTCCTTTTGAAATAAATCACACCATTTCAAAAGTTCCAAAATGTTTAACAAAAAGAATGGAATCTTCCTAGAAAATCGTACAACAGCATGCAATTTTATTCCCAAAAAATTATGAGAGTTTATTTTCTATTTAAGAACAGTGTTCCAGAAAATTTTTTTACTTTACACCCATTACAACAGATGACCAGGTATTTGGCCTGTATTTATGGTTTCATTTTTGACAAATAGCAGCAGCTAAAATATTGAGAAAATACCAATGGGACATTAGCCCAATGGTATAACCTCTCCTCCCCCAAAGGGGAGTTGAGGGATTCGAGCCCCATAGTGGGCAATTTGTGAAATGTGTGTGTCAATACTTACCTAACCAAATAATAATAATAATAATATTGAAAAAATATATTCATCTTTAGCTTGTAATTTACCAAAAAGGCTGTAAAGGACGGATTGAATTAGCACAGAAAGACCAGCAAGCCTATAACTTGACCAAAATATCGGCCTACGCATAGCATACATGAAAACAATATTTATATCGCCAACCCAATATAGGTGGAGCTGATTACAATAAATAATGAAATCATGTGAACTTGACAATCATCTAGTTCTAGATTTCATGTTATTTAAATTTCCTAGCAACAATGGAATAAATAAGAATGAAATTTTTTGTAGAAAGCAAATTAAATATAGAGCTAATTCGCATCCTTGTCTTTTTCCAGTAGATCAATACCACAGGCAGTGTCACATTGTCAGAAAAAATGTGAATCTAAAGCAGGATATTTCATGCAAAGAAAGTCAAATGAGATCAATTATAAATATAATAATGTCTAGTATATAAACACATAGATACATAAAAATGGTGTATGTGTGCATAGTTACCGTTCTAAACCCATCATCCAATTTAGTTCAAAGGTTAGAATGAATACCAAGGACAAATGAAGGATGCTGATATTTTGACTCTGATCCATCCTTTGAGAACTTGAAGAATAAATTACTGATGGAAGAACCTGCTACCTGATGGTGTTTTTTACGAGGAACAGGCAAAAAGACTGAAGTATTCTTTAGCAAATGAAACATGACAGCATCACCAACCTGCATTTCATGAAATTTTGAAGACGATCATCTATAATACAAACCCTTAGACGCATACAAGCACACATAAGTAAGGATATGTACATCAAATAAGAAAACAAACTAATATTATTTAAATGAAAGTAACTGTCACTCACCCTTCTTAAGAGAAGGCCCCATGATGCACATGTTAGAAGCTCTACAATGGGGCTAGAATGGCTATGCTGTCAGATATAAATAAAAGCTATTAAAAGTTCTACAATGGAGCTTGAATGTTATGCTGTCAAACATATAAATAAAAACTACCAGTACAAACAAGCTAGTGTTGGTAAAGGAAGCTTTAATTTGACGGCAATAGCAACAAAGTGACAGAAAGATAAACGTTCATAAAGTAATGATTGCTTACCTTGTCATAACCAATGCATATTACATTAGGGGATTCAAGTTTCTCACGCATTATCATTTCAATTGTCCTTCTGACAATCTGACAGCATTAAGATTAGTAACAAGTTAAGCATGCAAAATAATTGAAGTAACAATTCAAATAGCCCACGGAAAAGGAACTTCCATACTAGCAACAAAGTAAAGAAACTGCTTTAATTAATCAAACATGTAAATACGGTGATTTGGATCATCATACATATGTCAATCTCATGAACTATAGCATTGACACACTCTCAGGTCCAATTAACAACTAGTACAGCAACAACATAACTATTCGTGATGGCTGCCTCTGACCATCAATTAATTGAACAGTCTAAATTCAAAAACAAGAATGCTAAACTCTATGACTAAACAGAATGTTTAGCCGCCTTCTTTAATTGACATAAAAATAAAAGATGTGACAATCAAAGCCTTCACTGTCTAAGACAATGTTGAGGGTTCAAACGCCCCAATGAGCCATGCATGTTAGTATACTTTCCTATCAAATGCAAAATCAAATAATAAAATAAAAGATGTGGAATGAAATCATGTGGGACCCACAAAGATGCAAGTTTAGTTGCTATGCATAATCATGTTGCTTAATTCTGTGCATAGCATTATTCATTAGTGGGAAAAAAAAAAAAAAATTAATAATAAGAATAAGAACAACAACAACAACAACAATACTTGCCTCCACACCGGAGGCATTTTGGTAATATTTGGCTATCAATGAGTGCATGAATTTTCTAACTCCCTATCCTACAATACTAACTCACCAATGGGCATTAGCTCAAATGATATGATCCCTCCTCCCAAGGGGAGATTGAGGCTATGTTTGGTAGAGTGAAAAATAAAAAATAAAAAAATAAAATAAAAGATAACATTAGTTACGAGAGAAAAGAAAAGAAAGGAAAGGAGAACATAGTGTTAACCACTTATCGTGTTGAAAAGAAAGAGAAGGATAGTAACCATGTTTGGAAATAAAGGAAATGAAACTATTTTAATGAATATACTACTACTGTTTAAAAATGTTAGCCTTTCCTTACATTTTCTCCCTTTTTTATTTATTTTTATTTTTTTTGGTGGATAGCAAAACCAACTCATAAAGCTTTAATATATCCCTCCAAATTCTTCCATTCCCTTTCTTCTCTTCCAAAATTTCGTACCAAACACAAAAAAACCATCTCTCTGTGTTTCCTTTCTTTTCTTTTCCTTCCATTTCTTTCCAACCAAATTGGGCCCAAGTGTTCGAACCCTGGTAAGAGCAATATTGTTGGCGGGGATTTGCTTGAATTTTCAAGAAGGAAAAAAAAAACAAAATTACAAATTCAAAACACACAGACGCATACTTGCGTATATACATAAATATATGCAGACTTTTCCTCTTCCCAAATAATTTGGGTAATTTCAACTACGATAGAGATTTTCTTCCTAGTAACAAGATTTTAGAGTTTGGACCCCAAAAAAAAAAAAAAAGTATGCTCCATAAGCTTGACTAGGTTTGCTAAATTCAATCATTATTATTATTATTTGTCCTATTCCCTTTACCAATTCCCCTTTCCTTTTTGGTAATTTCAGTATAGCTCGAATTCATATTATAGTAACATATTCGAAAAAATAAACCATTAATTCAGCGAGTGTGTAAATGTGTGTATAATATATAGACAGAGCTAATAGTAGACCTCGTGCTGGGACCAGCGACGTTGAGGATTGAAGACTGTTATCGGAGGCGCATCTTCGGAGACGACGACGAAGCATTGGGATAAGAGCTTGCGATAATCGGCGGGATCATTGGGTCTGAGGAGGAATGACATGGCGTCTCCGCCGCTGCAACCTAGGCATCGCCTCCCATTGCAACGGCAATCTGAACCAGGCGGAGGCGGCGACGGCGGAATCAATGATATGATCGTGTCGGCAAGTGTACGAGCGCGGTTGCGGTATGCCTTCCATAGGACATCCGGGACCCTTCGTCTCCTCGCCATTGATGAGAGAGAGAGAGTGCGTGCAATAAAGTGTGTCAGTGCTTTTGTTAAGAGAGAGATTGGCGCCAAAAAAAATTAAAATAGTAAATAGAAAATAAAAATTAAAAATTAAAAATTAAAAAACCCTACTTTCAAGTTTCAACAACTGTTTGTCGCAATTTTTTGAAGAAGAAAAAAGAAACGGCTTCAAAATTATACAAGGAAGGTATAGGCCTAAGTATTTTCAAAAGCATAAAAATAAAAACGACAATGATTAGGAGGGGTGTTAACACTTTTTTCCTTTTCTTATGCACATAATTAAATTTCAAATGCATTCAATAGTCCCAAAAGCATAAAAACTTACATAAACTCTTATTATTGATTCAAATATTTTACTCTTTTTTTAGTAGGATAAATTTAGTTAATTTTTTTTTAATTCCCTTAAACTTGTTCAGTGACACCTAGAAACGACTCTGGGTGTGAAAAAATAATAATGTCTTTATAATGATATATTATATTACATTCTATACAACAAAAAGAATAAATTTATCATTTTATAAAATTTGGTCAACATCATAGCAAAAAATAAATTTATAGGGGCGTTGTTGAGCACCCACATCAAAGAGGTTAAAATAACACAAAAGATGTCAACAAATTTGTAAATTAGTGTTATCCATCCAAAATAGAAAGTAAGAGTCAAGTCCCCAATTAAAAAACACACACACGAATTTTGAAATCTGAAGGAGATGGTTTCAAATTTGGGAATGGCCCTGGGCCTTGTAATTTCTTGTGGGTTTGACTTGTTTCAGCTCCGGCTGTTGTTTTGGGGCATTTGTTTTGGCCCATACCTTTACTGTACATACTTTTAATACAAATTGCCTCAATTTTTGGGGAAAAAAATTTTTCTTCCGAAAAAAATAATAATACTAGTAATAATTTCCCCTTAGAGTGAAGTGTATGCTTTTGCGAGACGTTGAATTGTGTTCTTTTTTTACTTTTTATTTAATTTTTTTTTTTTCTTTTTTCAGTGTAGAATCTATGGGTTTCTCTGGGAATGGCAACCAAGTGGTTTTTAACGGGTGTATCCTCCCCCACCCCTACCCCCGCCCAAAACATGTTAAATAGGGTATTTTTCAACCCATTCTCGCCTCCGTTCAACTTTTTCACCCCGCAGGAACCCGTCCCTTAATTTTTCTTCCTTTTAAAAATTTTTACCCCTCAAATACAATTATATAACTATTAAAAATTCATTAAAAAAAAAAAAAAAAACATCAATACTTTAACATAAAATTCAACATTACAAACATTGAATGAGAGAATGTGAATCATAGGGTTTCTTATGCTATTTATATATACTAATAAAATAAAGATAATTTAATAATTTATCTACTTAAATGTAGTAGGGCAGAGTGACCTCCCCCACCCCACCCTAAACCCGAACGAGTTTTTATTAGTAAAAATCATCCCCGTCCAAATAACTAAACGGCTCCCCAAAATTGCCATAAACGAGGTGGGTGGGTACCTGCTTCGTGAGACAAATTGTCATCCCTAGTTCCCTTATTATGAAATGATGAAATAGTCGACTTGCTTTGTTAATATTAATATATTAATATTGTCTAAACCATTGCAAATTTTTCAAAGCTCAGAGGGGTTAATTAGGGTTAAGTGCAGAAAAATACCCCTAGAGTATACTTCCAGTGCATATCACACCCCTCACATACAAAAAAACACCCCATAAAGTTTTCATTTTTGTGCAAATAGGTACTTCTAACAAATTTAGTTGATTAAATTACCCTTATTGAACTATTTTTAAAAATATGTAAAAATAAATAATTTTGTTAAATGACAAAAAATGACACTATTGGAAGACGCCCCTAACGTGCAAAAAACACCCCTAAAGTTCCAGTTTGGTGCAAATAGGTTCATTTAACAAATTTAAACATTAAGTTAACTAAATTACACTTACTCAACTTATAAAATATATAAAAATAAATAAATTTATAAAATGACTGAAAATGACACTATAAGAGAGCACGGACAATGGACAAGTAAAGATAAAAATAGAAAATAAAAATAAAATTATAAAAGAAAAGTAATAAAAATAGAAAAAAATAAAAAAATAAAAAAGTAAAAACTAAAGAAAACAAATTTGCTTCAAACTCCAAAAACTAGTACACACTGATATTGGGATTATTATTATTATTTTTTGTTTAATAGTTTTGATACGGGAAAAAATAAAATAAAGAAAAAAAAAATTAAAATTCTTGTTTTACAAATTATAAAAGTTTCAAAGAAAAAAAGTATAGAGATATATATATATAGAAAAAAAGTTTTTTTTATATATATATATAGTAATATGCACATAACACCCCTATGCTATGAGATTAATAACATATATATACCCCCTTGAATATTTTTGAAATAGTAAAAGGACAAAACGGGTATAACAACATTAATTTAAGTCAGATGCGGTGTTTTTTGTCACTTTTTCAAATATAAAGTAAAAGTAATACATCGAGTGTACTTTATAAGCGTTTTCTGTACTTGTCCCGAGTTATTTACAACCCTTTTATTTTTTCAGTTAAACATATTAATATAGAAAGTTTTAACAATTTTTAAAAACTTTGGTAAATAGAGTCCATTTCCAATGAAATAAGATCATAAATTTTTGCTTCTCTCTTTTAATTTCTATTTTCTTCTTCAAAATGATGGCTTTAGACACTTGCCTACTACCTGTAAAAGCCCTTTAAAGGCTCACATGGTTCACATCATTGCTTCGATAATTCACACTGTTCACGTCATACCAACCTTTCCCATTCTTCAATTCATTTGTTTGGTCCACCAACTGGCTTTTAATCAAATTTTGAGATTCATTTTCATCTCATTAAACGTTTCACTAAATTAACCATATTCTATGTTTAGGACACCGAAATGACTACTTGAATTTGAGATTAAAAAAATTTAGTTTAAAATTTATATTAAATTTTCATAAATCTCAATTTAAAATCACCAATTCGATATCTCAAACACGACACATCGGTATAAACAGTCGGACTTTTTTTATTTCTAACTTTGACCAAAATTTCCTGTTCAAATCACATTCGTTGGATGTGGATTCAACGCCTGGAAATAGAAGTAGTAGGTAGCATTTAGGATTGTGCAGAAAATCAAAAGTCAATGTTCCACAGCCAAATTTTAGTGCCTTGAAAAGTTGTATGTACAGAAAATAAGAAATTGGCAACATCTTTTTGAACATTTTAAAATTTGGTGATATAGAAACATAAAAGAAAATAAATTTTAAGAGTTTTAATTCAAGAAAATGCTTATTGTTTTGGAAATTCAAAGAAAAAAATATTGTTCTTCAAAGTAAACTTTATGTTCTTTGAATTCATTTTTCTTAATTATTTTTATAAAATTCAAATGGCAGAGTATCCGTTCATTTAAATATAACTCCTTAAACAATTAGATAATAAGAGATAAAACATCGTGAAGCACCTCAAGTCATTTTAGTAGGTATTGTGTTCACAGATTATGTTTGAATTTCGCAACTTCGATCTACAATAAAATAACACACCTCTTATTTCCCCCCAAAAACAAGAAAAAGATGCATCCATTAACAGTAAAATATTTACTTGACTTATTTTTTAACGAGATTTTTATTTTATTTTTTACTTTGTCTGTACCTGAAATGATAAAGTACCACCCAATCATCACTTTTGTTAGCACATGGAGAGCATATAATCTTAGTCGATTTCAATTTATCACCTAAATAAAAAATTAAATCATATAATTTAGGTCAATCACAACTTATACATGGTTAAAAAAATATAAATAATTTGAGAGTCTAACATATTTGACTTTTTAAATTTTTTACTTTTATGTAAATAAAAAATAATTTAATTCTTTACTTATATAACTATAATCAAATCCGTCCTACTTTTTAAATTTTATATGACACCTTTAAATAAAATTCGTACATATATTTACTAAAATTACGTAATTTTAAATTATGCATTTTTTCTGTCCCAAATTAGATTTTATATTAAAAAATGAATCACGATTCTTCAAATAAAATATTTAATTTAAGATAATTACAATTTTTAAAATAAATTATTTAATTTGAAACGAAAATAGTATCGAGAAAGTAAGGACATACCGGTACAAGCGGCCCCACCCAAAGTACAAGCAGCCCCACCCAAGTTTGTTTGTATGCGTGATAGACGTTTGAAAAGTGCCACAGCCCACAGGTTGTCGACCCGTTCAAGATAGATACAGATCTGCGAGGCAAAGGTACATCCTTATCCTTTTGGTACATCCTTATACAGATATTGTTTTATATTTTGAAATTTCTTAATATATTTGTATATTTCATTTATGGATGAGTAAATGAAAATTAATAATTGAAGTACAATGAATGAAAGAAAATGAATTGTTTGACACGTTGGTTAATATAAATAATATTATTTGGTTTAAAACTTTAAATAGATTGAAAGAAGGAAAAAAAATTGATTTATATAAATAATTCTTATTTTTACTAAGAAGATAATATATCTAAATACATGTATTTAATAAATATATTTCATCTTTTGTAAAGAAGTAATATAAAAATATGAATTAATTATTTTGCAAGACATTCGGAGAGAAATAAGGGTCAATATATCATTCTTATAAAAAGTTATGTATAAACACTTAAGAAATAGATAGGGTATAATTGTAAATTCACATAATGTTCTCCATGAAAGAAAACTTTTCCTATATTTTTTTTGTTGAAAAAATTTATGGAATAACTAAGTGGCTAGAAAAAAAAAACCTTCTAGAATAAGGTACGATGGTAATTTTGCGCGCCAAGAAAATAAATTTATAAAGATAAAAAAATGGGCAAAAAAAAATATCACGCGTGAAAATGTTATGTCTATTATTATTATCTTTTTGGATTTTAAGAAAAAGTGTTGGAAAATATAACATTTTTGCACTATTTTAGTTTTTATTTATTTATTTTCATTATATATTTTATGCTTTATTTCATATCAACAAGACAACAATAACCGCATTAAAAAATATTTAACACCTAATGAATATGTTTCAAAAGGTTGGTACCAAACTTTTATGAAGTTTGAACCGAAACTTTAAGAAAACGTGTTTAGGACATTTGAAAACGTCAAAAAAAAATAAAAAATAAAAAAAAAAATAAAAATATTTAAAAATAAATAAATAAATAAAAGGTTATTCAAAAAACTTCTCAATGTTGGATGGAATTTGCAAGAAATGGTATTCCTATTTATGAGAGAGATTCTACCAGAGTTGACCAAGAGCA